AACTGGAAGAGCACAGTCAATGTCACTGAACTGTGTATGTAGAAATTTTTGAAACGGTGTATCTTTGGCTATGTGTATTTTCACCAAAAAAAAAAAAAAGGTTGAGAATTTAGAGGGTTAATATGTTGTGGGGTTGTTAACCAATGTCATAAAACAACACGTGTACTACTGTTTCATGAGAAATATTTGTTCTGTAAGCCTTCACCTGAAGTATAATAAAATATATGTGAAAAAAAAAAAAAAAGAATATTTAATCCATGCAAAAAAGATGAGAGAAAAAGGAACAAAGAATAGGTAATACCAATGTAAACAGTAAGATGGTAATTTATGTCCAAATATATCAAGAATTACATTATATATAGCTTGACTAAATGGTCCAATTAAAAGATAAAGATAAAGCAATCGTGTTTGTTCACAAAAGACATCTTAAAGAATGTAGAAAGATTCAAAGTAAAAGAATAGAAATAATATGTCATGAAAATACAAATTAAAAGAAAGCTGGAATAGTTAAACAATAATATAAGATGAAGTGGACTTCAAAGCTTAAATCACTGGATAAAGAAGTATATTTCAGAATATTAAGAGAATAAATCTAATTTCTATAAAAATTCTATATTTTATATACAACTCACAACATAGCCTCAAACATATACATAAATAAAAAACTGACAACAAAGTAAAGATCATAAATTCATAATCATAATAGATTTTAACAGACCTTCCTTAAGAATAAGTAGTTTTAAAAAATCAGTAAAGACATGGGTATCATCCGTAAAGAATACTCAATTAATAAACACTGCAACCAACAACAAATACAGAATATATATTATTTTCAACTGTATTGAAACATTTATCAAAACTGGATCATAAAGCAAATCCCAACAAATTACAAAGGAGTGAAATATTACACTATATGTCACTTGGCCACAATGACACTAAGCCAAGAAACAAAAACAATGATAAGAATAACACATTTCTGAACAACCAATGGGTTAAATATGTAGTAAAAATGAAAAATTTAAAAACTATTTTGAAATAAATGACAATAAAAAATACTACATGTCAAGCTTTTGGAATGTAATAAAGCTGTGTTTAAAGACATTCAGAACCATAAATACAATACAATTCAATACAATACAGAAAAGTTGAATAACAATGATCTAATCATAGACCTCAGACAGAAAAATAGCAAAGTAAGCCCAAAGAAAGACGGAAGAAAATAAAAAGCAGAAAATGATGAAATAAAAATAAACACGCAATAGAGAGGATCAACAAAGGCAAAGATTCATTTTTTGAAAAGACTAATAATATTGATTAAAAAAATTAAGAAAACAAAAAATGCTGACATAAGAAAAAACAGGAAATCTGAATAGCCCTCTTACTAATAAGAAAATTAAATCTATAATTTTAAAATTTCTCAGGCTAAAGAAAACCTGAGACCCAGATGGCTTCACCAGTGAATTTATTCAACTATGTTAGGAAGAAATAACATCAGCCTTGTACAAAGCTGGAGCGCTGGTGGTGCCATGGTTAAAAGCTCAGCGCTAACCAAAAGGTCGGCAGTTTGAAACCACCAGCTGCTCCTTGGAAACCCTACGGGGCAGTTCTACTCTGTCCTGTAGGATTGCTATGAATTGGAATCAACTCAACAGCAGTGGGTTTGGATTGGTGTTTTGTACAAAGTCTTCTAGGTGAGTTTTATAAGGCCCAACTTATTTTACGAGGCCAAAAAAATCAGATATGGATATCAAAACCTGACACTGATATTGTAAGAATTAAAAATCACACAGTAGTCTTTCTTAGTAATACAGATGAAACAGTCTTAAGTACAACATCAGAAAACAAAATCATGAGATACATAAAAAGTATAACACATCACAATCAAGTTAGGTTTATTCAAGGAAATCTGTGACGGGTTTAACATTTGAAAATCAATCTGTGCAGTTCACCACGTTAACAGAATAAAGGCTAAAATACATATGACCATCTAGATCAGGGGTTAGCAAACTATAGTCTGCAAGCCAAATCTAGCTCTCCATCTGTTTTTACTAAGTTTCACTGGAATACAGCCTCACTCATTGATTTCTATATTGTCTACAGCTGCTTTCAAATTGCTATAATGGCAAAATTGCACAGTAGCAAGAGACTGTACGGCCGGCAAGCTAAAACTTTGATTATGTGGCCCTTATAGAATAATTCTGCCAATCCTTGATCTAAATAGATGCAGAAAAAGCATTTGATAAAACTCAACCTCTATTCACGATTTAAAAACAAAACAAAAAACCTTTAGAAAACTAAGACTAAAAGTCATTAAGGAACTTCTTTATTCTGATAAAAAGCAGTATGATCTATAACAGTAAATGCCAGGCTTAATGGAGAAATGCAGAGAACAGGACTGAGTCAACAATACCTGCCATCACCACTTGTACTCATCACTGTACTGGATACTAGCCAGTGCAATAAGGCAAGAAAAAGAAATAAAGGAAATAAAGATGGAAAAGGAAAAAAAAAAACCTTTCTTTTTTGGCAGCTGGCATCATTATATACATGGGAGAAAAAAGAACTACCAAATACATTATTAGAATTAATAAGTGATTTTAGCAAGGTCATTATTTTTAGAAATCTAAAAGTTAATCTACAATGTTTTAAGTCAGGAGAGTGGGTTATCTTTGTGCAGAGAATAATGATAAGGAAAGGGCATAAGGGATGCTGGGAATATTTTATTTCTTAACCTGGATGGTGGCTACACCGATGTGCTGTGCTCACTCTGTGATACTTTGTTGAGCTGTACACAGAGAACTGATGTATTTTTTTAGCATGAATTTTGGCAAACTGCCACGAGAAAAAATATTTGCTTTTAACATAGTCAACACTCTGTAAAGACAAATTCTAGACTATACATGTCACATACAAAAAAATTTCTTTGTAAAGTGACTTCGGTTTTATTATTTTACCTAATTTTATGAAGGTCCCTAGGTGGTACAAATGGTTTGCACTTGACTGCTAACCTAAAGGTTGGAAGTTCAAACCAGCAGTACTTCAGAAGAAAAGGCCCGGCGTTCTGCATCCATTAAGATTACAGAGAAGAAAACCCTAAGGAACAGTTCTACTCCATAACACATGGGGTCACCATGAGTCAGAACTGACTCAACAGCAACTAACAAGTTTCTATAGCTGAAGTACTTTCAAGTTTTTGTATTCATCAAAATATACCTTCAAAGAAACAACTGACGGGGTGAGAGCAGGGGGGAGAATTCTGTTGTACATATACATTAAAGAACTTCAAGGATTCCTCTTTTTATAAACTCTCATTTTATGCTGGGCATAAAAAAGTAAATAAGACAGCCTTTGCCTTCCATGAGACTGCATGCTAGAGACATGTGCCCAAATGAATCTGTAATTCAGATAATGACAAGTGCTATGAAGAAAAATAAAACATAATAAAGGGAAAGAGTGATGGAGGAGGGGAGTGGAGTGGGAAGTTGGCTAGTTTACCTAGGCTTGTGAGAAAAGGCCTGTTTGAGAAGGGGACATATGAGCAGGGACTGGAATGAAAGGAGACAGAACCATGGAAGAGCACTGAGGCAACAATGAGCTTGGCATATCTGAAGTACAGCAAGAAGGGGAGTCAAACACATCACAGGACTTTTATTTTACACAGCTCTGCATCCTATTGCTTGACACCATATCCCAAAGAACTGGAACCACAACGATTTTTTTAAGTGAGGGCCTACCTGGTCGAATTGTACTATCTCTTCCAAAAAGATGAAGCCGTCTTCTACCAAGACAAAAATGTTCAATTATATGAAAAATTTCTACAGGTTTTTCTATATTGCCAATTTCAGGTTCTTCTGTGATAATTAAGTCAATGTCAACATTAGCATGAATGAAGTCTCCGTCTGTGCTACGCTTAACAGTTCCTTTGATCCCCATAAGGCAGTGTTCCTAAGTAGTAACAAGAGCAGATTAAGAGTAATCAATCTCTTTTCACCAACAGTCACGTTTCAAAACATTTTACATTTCTGATGTCCCCAATTCCAAAACAATCCTTATTTCTTTGAATCTTTGAGATATAGTTGTTCTATGAGTGAAAACAGAGTAAGAAAGCTTGGATCTCTGTATGTAGAGTGCTGCCACAGAACCTAGAAACAAGAGTATTAAAATTCGGCTGTTAGATTTTAGAACTGAGTCAGGAGTCTTTTCCCCCGTAACTTGTAAATAACTTATTTTCACCAGTCACGGAAACATAGCTCTTGATCTTGGAATCTTAAAATGATGCTATATTGGGCCTTGTATAATCCAAAATCAAAATGATATACTGAGATCCATCGCCACTGAGTCGATTTCAATTCGTTGTGATCCTATATGACACAGCAGAACTGCCCCATTAAGGTTTCCAAGGCTGTAATCTTTACGGTAGCAGATTGCATCTTTCTCCCATGGAGCAGGTGGCTGATGGGTCTGAACTGCCAACCTTTTAGATAGCAGTTGAGTGCTTAACCACTGCACCACCAGGGTTCCCTGATATACTAGAGGGGGCATTAAACACAGATATGTTACAAATGCTTAACAGAAGTAAATGTGAAAATCAAACAATTTTCTTTTTTTGTTTGTTAGTTTTTTGTCCTTTTTTATTAAATCTAGATTTTGAGGGGAAAGGAGTAAGCTGGAAGGTTAAATAAATCTAATCTCTCACTTGACTACATGAACCACTAGGGACAAGAGTAGTTTTGGTTCCCTTCTGTTATGGATTAAATTATGTCCCCCTAAAAAATGTGTTGTAAATCCTAACCTCTATGCCTGTGGTTATAATCCCATTTGGGAATGGGTTGTTTTGTTGTGCTAATAAGGCAGGATTAGTGTAGGGTGTGTCTTGAGTCAACCTCTTTTGGAATATAAAAGAGATTAAACAAGCAAAAGAAGCAGAGATGGGGAAAGACAGATGCCAAGCCACAAGAAGATCACCCAGGAGCAGAAGCTTAAAAGAGACAAGGACATTCCTCCAGAGGTGAGAGAGAGAGAAAGCCTTCTCCAAGAGCCAGCGCTCTGAATTCGGACTTCTAGCCTTCCAAACTGTGAGAAAATAAATTTCTATTTGTTAAAGCCATCCACTCACTTGTATTTCTGTTATAGCAGCACTAAATAACTAAGATATCTTTGAAAGAATTTACCAGTCCGAGAAAGATTTAATAAGAAAGACTCTCGCACCTGTAACTCCCTAATGGGTGGGAGACTGAACGACAAAAACTGTTAAGGCCTGATACTAGCATGCATACAAAGCATACAAAGTCTTTCATGGATTCTTGTGTAGGTCCTCAGGGGACACAAAGAGGAGAAGGGAAGGGGAGAGAAATATGTCTCTAAGCTAGCTATCAGTCTTACTGACATCTCTTCTTCTTGTGCCTAGAGAAATGGAAAAAAATCTGGGGATCAGGGGTACCAAAAACCTCTATCTGATTTAGGATTACAGTAGTTTAGGACATGCAGGAATGTGTACCCCCCTCTCTAGCACAGTGGAGGCTAATCTAACATAATGAATAAAACATTTCAATATTAATTAAGGTGTATTCCTGCAATGCTTAATAACATTTTTACAAGTCTAAGAAAAGGATCTTTTCAGCAAAATTAATTGGAAAGTATAGAAATTTGGGAAAGCTTAAGATTAAATAATAAAAATAAAGAAAATAAAATATTAAGGACAATACCTTTGTTCGCTGGAAGACAGCCTTTGGATCTAAAGTTTTAGTCTTTCCAGGATTGTTTTTATTGGTTTTAATCCAACATATATCTTCACATCTTCTGTAACCCCACTTGCGTAAACACTAGAAATGAAAGAACAATAAAAAAAATCCTTAACTTAAAAAAATAAACAATACTTAAAATAATCAACCAACATTAAAAACCTGTCCAGATGTTTGAGATACTAAATTCCAAAGTAGCACTGTAATTTTGTTTTAGTGCAGAAATAAAACAGAAATGTCTTGAAAAATATAGCAATTATACAAAATGATATACATCTTTTGGATATTAATATAATATATACAGTTAAACATTAAAACACAGAAAAGAGTACATAGTGCTCCAATTCTTCAATACTACCTTCTTTTGTCATCAATATAAGCTGGATTTTAATTTCAATTATTTTAACAGCTCTACTGAGATATCATATATGAATATATCACATAGTATATAATTCATTCTTTTAAAGTATACCATTCAATGACTTTTAGTATATTCACAAAGTTGTCCATCCACCATCACAATCAATTTTAGAACATTTCCACTGCCCTCAAAAGAAATCCTGCACCTCTTGACCATCACCTTCAACCCCATCACAGGCAACCACTAACTTATTTTCTGTCTCTATAGAGCTTCCTACTGTGGACATTTCATAAAAATGGAATCATATAATATACTGTAATTTGTGATTAGGTTTTAAACATAAGGAAACACACAGTCTCTCTGTAATCATAAAATAATCCAAAAGATAATTTGATTCCTCAGTTTTATATCCTTTGACAAAGTTAAACACTGTTGAAACACCTCTAACTGATAACTTCTTTTCAGATGAGATAGCCCTATAAAATTTTCTTTTTATATTAAATGCTATTACCTTTAAAAAAAAATTCAAAGACTGTTGTTATGTGTATATCTTTACTGGAAATATACTTTATTGAGTAAAATGCTTACCTTTATATAATTGAGAAAATACAGAGATTTGAACCTTAGCATTCTAGAATCTGGTATATATAAACAGGTGCCATATACTAGATTATATGCTACTGGAATCCACTCTACAGCAACGGGTTTGGTTTTATGGCTAGCTACAGGGAGTAAAACCAGGAATGAAGCATTATCCTTACCTTCAGTCAATTTAAGAGTAAATTAGGAGGAAATAAGGTGCAGAATAATATTGGTGGTGCTATAATCAAGTATGTATAAATGTTATAGTGGAGCATAAAACATATGCTCTTATTGTGTAAAGTGAGATGCATCTCAAAATGAAACTTAGACTTTTACTTTAAAATCTCAAAAATCAATATCAACATCTGTTCCTGTTTCACACTGGATGTTTGTTAAACATCATAAGGGCCTAAATTTTACATTCCCTAATGCACTAATTTGGAGCCCTGATTGTGCAGTGGCTAAGAGCTGGGCTGCTAACCAAAAGGTCAGCAATTCAAATCCACCAGAAACCCTATGGGGCAGTTCTACTCTATCCCATAGGATCACTATGAGTTGGAATTGACTCAGTGGCAATGGGTTTTTAATGCACGTATTTACAGAAAACTCGTATTTCTCATGCTGAATTATTTTTCTTTTTTAAAATCAAAATCTGCTTTCACCAATATGATAAACTGCATAAACAAAAAAGAAAAAACCTCTTAACCATTTTCAATCTAATTTAGGGGGTGGGAGGAAAGACCAAAAAACAGACATCAGAACTGAAAAAGGTAAATGTCAATATACACATAAATACATGCAGTATATTTCTTTTTCTCTACTTTCTTAACTTTCCCACAGCTCCTTGGGGAGCCATCACCAAAAGAATGGAGATACCCAATTAAAGTACAGCAGGCATAGGTTATGGTCTTACCTTGGAGTTAATAAATGACAGAAGCAATGATGTTACCCAACTGTCTCAAACTTATTACTTACACATAAAATATGTAGCAATTGTACAATTTCACAGTTTGAGCACATATGTATTTCAATATAATCCTACTTAATTATCTCATATAATCCTACTTAAATTCTTCACCTCTCAAATGGACACCTGCCCAAATTAGCATGCATTAAATGAGGTCATTTGTTATATAGCATGTAACACATTCTAAAAACGGAAAGCTATTATCCAATAAGAGGTGAGGAAACTGAGAACCACAGGAGTACCTTCTTGCCCAAAATCTCACTGTCAACGGGAAAACTGAGACCAAAAACGGAAGACTCCTGCCAACTAACCACAATGCTCCCGTTATTCTTGGACAAAATAGCATATGCTATTTTGTTTGCATTTAGATATCCAATACTCCATCAAAAAAAAAAAAGAAAGAAAACCTATGCAATACAATTAAATACAAGGTTCTTAAAATAGTTGAGGTGTTAGAATTTCTTTCTCTTATTCATTTATTCAAACTATAATGTGTTTCAGATGCTCTGTTACCTTTTCGATTTGATTTGGCTCCCATTTGGAATTCATAAGTCAATCCTATTCAGAAGAATACCTTTTAGCTACTTACAGTGAGTAGTAAATGATACTAACTAGCTCATTTATGAACTGCAATTCAGAGTTTCAAATTTCTAAACTATTCTCTTCCTGCAGTTATAAAAAAATCTATTTTGAAACAGCTGCATTCATTCCTAGTGCTAGTTAACTGACTTAGGGGTACTACCCTTCTAACATCCTCTTCTGAACAGATTTTCCTCCTGATATTTTCCAACTATTTAAAAAATGGGACAAAATGATATTAATCTACAGACTTCTTATGCAACATACATTAACATTTTTTTCCTATGAATTTAAAAATCTACTTTAAAAAAAACACCATCTTACCACTCTTCCAAGGTCTAATCCCTCCCCGGAACCACACCAGAGAAAAATAAATGATCGAGGTGCTGCAATCTCATCAATTTCTAACTTCATAATCTAGAAGAAATCAAAACAATACTGCATAAAGTCTTTTGTTTCCCATTCATCCTAAATTCCAAAGAATAGTCATTATAATTTATCAGGACTCTCAGTATATGTGTTCTTTAAATATGCTCATTTTAATTACGAAATAGAAAATAAATTTTATCCTAAAATTTCTTGATTCTAGTGCTGCTTTCATCTACTATATCCAAACAACACACATGCACGCACCCGTACACACATATATGTACATAGCTGCTCTAATATGGAAAGAGTTTATATGAAAACATTTACAGAATTAAGAAATTTTACAAAACAGAGCTTAAGAGATATTCCAAAGCAACCTATTATTATTTATGAAAAAAGAAACTGAAAAGAATGAGATGAAATGATCCCAAACTTACGGCCAAATTAAGATGAAATATAACAAGTGTTTAGTTCTAGATAAAATAAATCAATATGCACATTTTATTAAAATAGCTACTGAAGTCTGCAATACAAAAATCTATATTTTGTTTGCCTTGTAGGTATTGAATGTGTCACATTAAAAAAAAGTTATTCAATAATCAAATCCCTAAATTTTGGAAATACCATGTTTTCCTATAAATAACTGCAGAAGCAACCATTTTATATGATATTTTTTTTTTCAGTTTCTTTAAAAGTTAACAAGTTTCAGAGACCATGGTTCAAGCAAGAATTTATTAGCTTCATTTATTAAGAAAATTTTAACTTCCATTTAAATAACAGATCCGTGTAAGTTATAACCATATCATCTCTAATGTATGTGGGCAGAAACAAAAGTATTTGATAGTAATAATGAAAATAAACTACAATATCTATAAACCTATTCAGCTTTATACTTTGACTTTTTCTTATGTCTTCAGATTTCTGTTCATCTAGTATTCTCATAGTACAGTAACAACCATTTTATCAACTATAAAAATATGAACATATATATGAATGTACATACGTATATATTTCTGCACACATCGGGGAGAGCAATAAGCAAATTAATTATTCTCTACTGCAATTCTAAAAGTTTAGTGTTGGTATTTTAAATAAGTGATTATGTCCTTAACCAAAACACACTGCCCACCACTACTGACTCTGTGAAAAATAGTACTTGTAAAACCCAAATATTTTTATTTATTTATTATATTAACTACTGTCACTTTGTTTAGTGGTAGTATCATATAAAGGAGTCCTGGTGACACAATCATTAAGCACTTGGCTGCTAACTGAAAGGTCAGCAATCCGAACCCACCAGCCACTCCAAGGGAGAAAAGACCTGATAATCTACTCCTATAAAGATACCAGCCTATGGGGCAGTTCTACTCTGTCCTATAGGGTTGCTATGAGTTGGTATTGACTCGAGAGCACATAACAACAAACAGCCAGAGCTTAAATTCAGTGAAATTAAACTGAAATCAAGGATTTACCTATAAAATAAGAAATTCCTTTATTTCAAAAACTCTTATTAGTTTGCTTGTCATATATAATTGAAGCACTTGTGCCCTTACTGATCAAACCTCACAGACTGGCTATAGAAAATAAAGTTCAACTTAACTACCTATGAAAGACATAATCAGATTCATTGGTTAAAATTTTGCTTTCTTTTGGCCAAACTGACAAAGACGGTTTTTAATATTAATACTCAATACTGACAAGGAGATGGTGAAACTGACATTCCTAAACACTCCTGAAGGAAATGTATTTATTTATTTTTTAATAATTTATTTTATTTTTGTTGTTGAGGAAATGTAAATTTACACAACCTATCTGGAAAGCTTCTCAGCAATAAACATCAATATTGTTAGGTCTTTAACCTTTAGTCTTGAGAATACCACATTTTTCTAAATTTTCAACAATGAGCACAGATTACATTTATAATCAGGAAATAAGAAAAACTTTTTTAAAGTGGTAAGAGCCATAAAAATGTAAATACAAGGTGCAAGGGGTATTGAAGCCAATAGAAAAAGCTTCATGGAGAAGAATTAAGAGGTTATTCTTGAAAAACAAACATTTTTATTATTAACAGTAATTACCACTAACTCAGAGAGGACATGCAAGGATTCAAAGTCGTTTCCTATGAAACACCAGTCCCACAGTTTCAGTCCTTTCTTTCTCTCTCTTCTGCATATGACACTCCTGATTACTCTCTCCTTGAAATTCCCTGTTCCTTTGGCTTCATGATTCTTACTCTCCTGGTTCTCCTCGTATTTCTCTGACCCATTCTTTTTTACATCTCTTTTACCTTTTCTTTAAATGCAAATGTTTCCTGAGGCATCACTGTCGGTCCACATTTTATCTCAACTGAAATACTATCCCAGGACAAACTCATTTAATTCTCATGGATTTAATGTAGAAATCATTCCAATAGACCAAATCTGTCTACCCTCTGAGCTTCTTATTCCTATTACCTCCTCCATGTGAATGTCTTACACATACCTCAAACTCAACATGTCCAACATTATTTAATTCTTCTAATCCTGCTCCTATTCTTGTATTCACTCTCTCTGTTAGTGGTAACTCTATACCAAGAGTGATAACTCTACACCACTTATACCAAGATAGAAACCTCTGAGTCATCTTTAACTCCTCCCCTCATCCCAATCACTAAGTCTTACAAAATGCTATCTCCTAAACTTACTGAATTTATCATCTTCTTCCTATCCCTAATACCATCACTCTAATGCAGGGTGCCTTCATCTAATATCTAAGCTACCACAACAGTCTGCTCTCCTTTCTCCAGACTTTTCTGTCTCTAGTCTAGCCTCCACACAGCAATTTGACCATGTTACTAAAGTGGTAAAAGCCCTTCAAGGGCTCCTTAATGCCTTCACGTTAAAAGCGCAAGCTCCTATAATGACATCATCTCAAGAAGTCCCATCTATGTTCAGACAACACCAGTCTACAGATAGATCTTCTCCACCCACAAACCAGATAGTATTTTTTTGCCTCCATCCATTCTGCTCTTGCTATTCTTTCTGCTTAGAATGCCCTTCCCATACATTTCATGTGGCCAATTCTAACTAATATATTTATATTATATTGTTCGCATGTTGCCTGTTCTATGTTAATGTGTCCCACCTCCCTCGGCTTGGTCAATTGTGCTCATCACCTTGTAATTTCTCTATTATCAAACCAACACAATTATAATGTAATTATCAGTTAAGGTCAATGTTCATCCCATTAAACTGTGTGCTCCTTAGTGGCAAGTACAAAGTCTTAGTCATCTTTGAATGCCTAGTACATTGCCTAGTACGGAGTGGATGCTCAACAAGCATTTGTTATGGATCAGTACAAACTTATGTAAATAACTGAAGTCATCAGCTTGCTTAATTTTATTATTTGAGAAAATATAACTTTATCACAACAATAACATTATATTGAAATTATGTGTTTATGTATCCTTTTGATCCACTATACTGTAAGCTCCTTAAAGAGTAGGGATCATGTTATATATATATATATATATATATATATATGTATGTATCATTATACTCTGATGTTTACTAAAACTAACAAAATGCCAAATGAGTTATCAATCATTCTGTTTTGGACTTTTCTAGCTATACATCCAAAGATTCTAAGACTGAGATTTTGAGTCTGCAGTCTACTCACTCACTACCTGTTCAATTTTTGCCCAGAAGAATCAGATAATGTAATATCTGTCAATGTACCTTGGACATTCGGCAACAGTATACAGTATGAATCAATATTTATGATCCCTACAAAGTAGGGATGATATTTATAAATCAAATGAACAAATGGATAAACAAATATTCATTTCAAAAATAAATAAATCATTACAATATAGAAAGTTTCATCATACATCATCCCAAGTCCAGCATTTTTCATTAGCAGTGATGCCAGTCTCTCTGTAATATTCTTCTAAAGGGGGTTCCAGGAGAATCACATCAAATTTGGGTGTTAGTTCTCTGATGTCAAAAGCTTCTATATCTGCTTGCAAATACCTATTTGATTCAAATATAAAAAAATGAGTGAGAGATTTTCAAATATCTTATAGACCGCAATGGAATAAACCACTTAAACATTAATAAACACTATTTACAGAGTAGTAATGAGCTAATTACTAAATGCCTTTTTAAGGAGGGGTGTCTTTCTTTAGTACAGAATAGACAGTAAGCCATCTCTAGGACATGGAAATAGCTACAATACAAACTAAACTCATATTCCACATATACATCCAGAATATGTACTTCTCTCATTTTTTAAACTATAAGTTTTAAAATTTTCCCTCTAAAAAATAGTTCCTAAACATGGACTTAATTTTCTTTTATTAGTTTGTTCATTAGTAAAATTGTTTATATTAATTGTCTTTGTAGGCTACCCAATATAAATTATTACTAGTTCTTACTGAAAGGCTACCTGCACTATAGTATGACAGTATTTTAAAACTAAAATAATTTAAATGAAAAAGTATTTTAAAAAATAGGATATTAGAGTCTGCTAAAATTTTTATGGTTCTTCTAATCATTACCAGGATACATTTAATCAAACCACTAAATGTACAAAACATTCAAAGTAAGCTAACTCTGGAACAGATTCTCCATTTCAAAGACCTCATACATGTTTCTGAGAAAAAACAAACTGTGTTTACCAAAGGTTAAAATGAATTATCATTTTCTAAAATTTGAAGAATAGTTATGTCTGAATGCTGAGATATAATTAATTTTTATTTTCTTTTGCTTCATCTAAGTTTTGTAAACTTTCTACACTAAACAAATAACTTTGACAAGAAAAAAATATTTAAAAGACATCTTAAGAAAATTATCCATAAAGCTAGAAAAAAAATTAAATGAGAGTCTACTGTGTATTCAGTATTATACTATCAATTAACATATTTTATTACAAAAAAGAAATAGAATATGTTAATCCTACATAGGCGTTGAAATGTTTTTTAAAAGAAAGTTTACAAGATACACACATTGATACTTTAAGCCTAAATTGGGAACAAAAATAAACCAATAAAAACACTTACATAGGAGGGGTGTTAGATTTAGCTATTAACTCATCTTTCAGCCTGATGAGCTCCCTTAGTTTAGGGTATTCTTCAAATCTGTCAGCTAAACCTAAGGGAAAATATCAATAATTCAAAGGTTAAGCTCCCTCTCAGGAAAACAAAACAAAACAATATACGTGTCATTTTAACCTTACTTCTTTTTTTTAAAGTTAATTTTGAGTACTTTAAAACATTTCGAATACACAGTTCATACCTGATAACTCTAACTCCACCTGCAGGTAAATACCCAGACGTTCTAAAGCCACTAAATATAAATCACTAAACCATTTAATTTTTCATATTTATTAAGCAATCTGCTCATAGCAAGTTTATCCATTCTGTTCTCAGGAGAAGAAAAAAAAAACTGCCTATCTATTGTGCTCTTTTTCCTCTTCCTTTTAGCTAAAAGAAATTCTCTCAGCTAAAAAATGTAATGATTGTTGAGATTTTTACTTATTTTCTTGAACAGTTATCCACAGCAAAACAAATGAGCATTTCTTTTCTATTTTATCATTAGGTAAGAGACAGAGAATAGCAGGGTGGGAAAAATATTGCAGATATCTTGAATTAACTGGCTATGCCCTATGGACACAGTCCCAGAACAAGTGAAAAAAAAAGAAGACAATAAGGCCCTGACAGTAGGTTAGCTCTAACCTCTCTGATTCTTTATCTAAACTGTACTACCAACTCTAAGAGAAGTTGCTGTCTTTAAGAAGATTTTCTACAACATCAATATTTAGTTTTAAAAATCTCACATCTCCACATTATTATAAACCAACTCTTCAATATATTTTCAGGTTTAGGATTTTAAGAAAAGTCTACAAGTCCCACAAAGGGTACTAAAAATAGGGGACTCGTTTTCCCCATGTCCTCAAAAATATTTTGTATCTTTGAACCTCAGAAGAGATTTTAGGTAAAACAGCATAATGCCAGATTAAACAATCGTAAGGTAGGAATATCAAAGATTCCTAAAAGCTCTTACTGGCTTTTTCCCCTCCACACAGGAAGCATATTCATGCAAATACAAATTATGTAAATGTCTTAATTCAAAAACTAAAATAAATATATTAATAACTTTAATATAAAAGAGTAAAAGTGAAAGATTTTCTAATGCCTCCCCAATCAGTGGTTATAAATTAAATTTCAAATAAAACATGTTTGAAGATTTTATTAAAGTCATGTTTCAATCACAGTAGAGTTGGCTCTCTTAATCATCTACAAAACAGAAGGTGCAACTTCTTCCTCAATCTATAATAATTCTGTAAGTACTTTTTTTTTTTTTTTTTTGCCCTTAGGGAAGCAAGTGTCTTAAAAGCAGAACGGTTTATATAAAAGCTTGGTTATACAATTTAACACTTTGTTCATCAAAACATTAAAATTAGTTTCTTCTTTAAGAATAATGTTGCTTATAAGCAGCAAGAGAAAAATAATTAAATTGGGTTACATCAAAATTAAAATCTTTTGTGCTACAAATGATACTGTAATCAAGAAAGTGAAAAGACAACCCACAGAATGGGAGAAAATACTTGCAAATCATTATGTCTGATAAGAAACTTGTACCCAAAAATATATAAAAATACTTCTATAATTCAATTACAAAAAGATAAATAACCCATTAAAAAATAAGCAAAAGGTTTGGACATTTCTCCAAAGAAGATACACCTACTCTTCACTTATTGACTCTCTCGTTATCGGGTATCTTACGTTTACAACAATAGTAAAAAAATCTACTATCTATTATGCATATTAACGATGTATATCTGGCAGTAACCCTTTCATGACCAGTGGGGCATACTGTGCCCACCTAGATTTTCTGCCTCTTGGGTCCAGTGGGACATGTGTCCCACAGAATATTTTGTGATCTGATGTGGTCATCCTCCATTTTTGCATAACACCAACTTTCTCATAACGACCTGGTTTTTGGAACATAACTATGTCGATAAGTGAGGAGTGGGTACACATAAATGGCCGATAAATACATGGAAAGGTGCTCGATATCATTAATCACTAGGAAATAACAAATCAAAACCAAAATGACTTACCACACCCACTATGATAGTGTTACGAACTGAACTGTGTCCCCCAAAAATATGTGCTGTAATCCACCAGCCGTTCCAGGGGAGAAAGATGTGGCAGTCTGCTTCCATTAAGATTAAACCAAAAACCAAATCTACTGTCCAGTTGATTTCGACTCACAGTGACCCTACAGGACAGAACAGAACTGCCCCATAGGGTCTGCATGGCTATAAATCTTTACAGAAACAGAATGCCACATCTTTCTCCCTCAGAGTGGCTGGTGGGTTCAAACCACCAACCTTTTCATCAGCAGCCAAGCACTTAACCACAGCGCCACCAGGGCTCCTCTCCCATAAAGATTACAACCTTGGAAACACTATGGGGCAGTTCTACTCTGTCCTATAGGGTCACTATGAGTTGGAATCAACTCAATGGCTATGGGTTTGGTTTTTGGTTTTTATACCTGTGAATCTAATTCCATTTGGGAACAAGCTTTTCATTGCTATGTTAATGAGGTCATGTGACCGTAGGGTATGTTTTAAATCAATCACTTTTGAGATATAAAAGGAGATTAGGCACAAAAGCAAGGAAAGACAAATGGGGAACAATTAAGGCCACATGCACATTACCAAGGAACTGAGTAAGAGAAGGTGAAAGAGACAAAGATCTTCCCCAGAGAGGACAGAATATTCCCCTAGCTTGTGCCCTGAACTCAGACATCTAGTCTCCTAAACGGTGAGAAAATAAATTTCGGTTCTTTAAAGCCATCCACTTGTGGTACATCTCCTATAGCAGCACTAGCAAATCCAAGACAGATGGCTATAACCAAAAAGACAGATAACAAGTGGCAAGGATGTGAAGAAACTGAAACCCTCATACACGCTGGCAGGAATGTAAAATGGTGCAGCCACTCTGATAACAGTTGGGCAGTTCCTCAAAAAATTAAATGCAGAATTAGCATATGACCAAGCAATTCCACCCCAGGTATATACCCAAGAGAAATGAAATCATACACCCACATGAACACTGTACATGAATGCTCATAGCAGTATTGTTCATAATGGCCAAAAAGTGGAAAAAAATCCAAATGTCCATTAAAGGATGACAGGATAAACAAAATGCAGTATATACATACAATGGACTATTATTCAGCAATAAAAAGAAATGAAGTTCTAAACCTTCATCTACAGTACAATAAAAAAAAAAAAAGAAATGAAGTTCTGATACAAACTGCCATCAATGATCCTTGAAATCATTATGCTAAGTGAAAGAAGCCAGTCATAAAAGACCACATACTGTATGGTTCCATTTACATAAAATGTCCAGAATAGGCTAATTTATAGAGACACAAGAAGAACAGTGGTTGCTTAGGGCTTTGGGAGGGTGATGAGAGACGTGAATGAAGATTGACTACTAAACGGGTATGCAGATTCTTTAGGACAGATGAAAATCTGTTCAGGACTCAGTGAATATCTGACAATAAATTTTAAAAAATACCACTTGTTTTGTACACTTTAAATGGGTGAATTGTATCTCAATAAAGCTGTTTAAAAAAAAAAAAGCTGGAGAAAAATGTAGAATAAAATTCTAACACAAAAAAAGACCAGACTTAACTGGTCTGACAGAGACTGGAGAAACCCCAGAGTATGGTCCCCGGGCACTCTTTTAACTGAGTACTGAAGTCACTCCTGAGGTTCACCCTTCAGCCAAAGATTAGACAGGTCCATAAAACAAAACCAAATTAAATGGGCACACCAGCCCCAAGGCAAGGATGAGAAGGCAGGAGGGGACAAGAAAGCTGGTAACGGGAACCCAAGGTCAAGAAAGGGAGAGCGTTGACATGTCACAGGGTTGACAAGCAATGTCACAAAACAATATATGTATTAATTGTTTAATGAGAAACTAACACGCTCGAAAAACCTTCATCGAAAGTATAATTAAAAAAAAAAGAAGGGATAGTCATACAACCAAACTGAAGCAAAAAAAAAGACAGGAAAAGAACAAAAAGAAACAAGGACTGAGTAAGAAAAAGGAAAAGGGGAAGGGAAAAGAAAGGAAAGGGGAAGAGAGAGAAGGAAAAGGAAAAAAAACAGAAGAGTAACACTTCTTGATAAGAGCCCTGGTGACGCAAGTTAAGTGCGCAGCTTCTAACCAAAGACTGACAATTTGAACCCGTTCAGCAGCTCCACAGGAGAAAGACCCAGCAATCTGCTTCTATAATGATTACACCCAGAAAACCCTAATGGGACAGTTTTACTCTTATCACGCTGGTCGCTATGAGTTAGAATCGATGGAAAATGAAGATGTACTGAAAGCACTGAGAACAGAAAAGGGAAGGCAAGCTGGGAAAAATAACTTCCTAGAGATAATCTAGAAAATGGATAAATTACATGCATGTAATCAAGAGTTAGCTAGAGTACAGTCCCAAGAAATCCGACATACCTACATCCCTGATGAAATTCTGAGGTCTATGTCCAGTGTCTACAAAATGTTGACAATAATCATTATGGGGATTTAAGCTCTGTGTCCCCTAAAGAAAAAGTCAAAATTAAATTAATAGCATGCACTCTGATGGCAGATACTCTTAACTCTGTACTTTGTTTTTATTATGAGATCATACAATATAAGCAGATAGACAGATTAGATAAATACATGATATAAAAATTACTATTATTTGAAAACACAACAAAAATGATAGTGTTACTCTTCAGGAGCTAAAGACGTTAATACACGATTAAAACCAAACCTGCTGCTGTCGAGTCGATTCTGACTCTGAGCAGCTCTGAAGGACAGAGTAGAACTGCCCCATAGGGTTTCCAAGGCTGTAAATCTTTACGGAAGCAGATTGCCACATCTTACTCCCATGGAGCAGCTGGCAGGTTCAAACCACCAGCCTTTCGGTTAGCAGCCAAGTGCTTTAACCACTGCGCCACCAGTACTCCTTTTAATATACCATTACCTCATCCTAAAATGTCAAATCGAAAGACTATTTCATGAATAATTTTAAGTGATCTTTATAATAATGATCCCACAAAAACTGAAAAAAAATCTTAAAAATAAGTATTTTAAAAATCTTTTCAGGCACAAAGCTTAAATGAAAAGATTTACAAGATTTGGAAGTTATTTATTTACCTTAAGAAAAGTACTAGAATCTTTGTAAATCTCTTCTTCGTATGGCAAATTCTCCTCCTCCTGCTGCATTTCCAGTTCATCCTTGGAAAAAAGAAGATCAAGCAGACATTTTATATATAGGAACTATTTCTCTGATTTTGACATTGTGATCAATTAAGATTCACCCTAAATAGTGTATTTCCCTAGAATATGATAAATGTTTCAAATTGCCATTAAGTCAAACACTGAAGTCTTTGCTTTCTAATCACTAGATCTAACTAGCTGATTATTTGTACTATAAAGTAAAACTTGCCTCTTCAGTATCTTCATTATTAAGTAGTTACCTAAAACTACTATTGTTTGGTTGACTGAATTGTCTAAAATTATCTCATATATGACACTACAAATATTTAAATTTAGCTCTAACAATAAAAGATGTGATCACCATGGGGCAATTTTATTTCCATTAGATTGAACCATATGAAACTGCTGTTAAAGGTTAAAAATGTTTGAATATCAGCACTTTCACATGGTTCAACCTAACAATTACAAATATGTAAATTACACATTAGTATACATTAAAAAACATAGCACACACAAGATAGTACTAGTGAGATTTCCTAAGGATTTGAAATTCTAAAGATTTAGTGAAACTATGTATTCTCTCCTTTATTAAATATAGTTGCATAATTAACTTACAAAAATGGAGATGGATTTTTTCCCCCGTAATAATTTTTTTTCAATTGAGTATTTCAGTCTGTAATTATAAGTACATAAGTTGGGTATTTTCTTGGGTCTGTTTCAGGAATGGTTCTACATTGTTGTCTAGCCCAGAGTTCTCAAAATATTTTAACTGTACTATATTGTTAACATGGAATAGAACTCATAAAGACAGTACTGCAGCCTCATGAAATCTGACCCAATTACCCAACGTTTCTGATACAGCTACCTCCTCACATATTCTTTAAGAATATCATTGCCTAATGATTACCAGGCATTGTGCTAAGTGCAATAAATATATGATCTGATTTAATCCACACAATTTTTGAGTTAAGATGAAGAAACGTATAAATGCAGGTTTTAATTTAACTGATAACACACACACTACTGACAATTATTTTAGCACGTTTTAAAATTCAGCTTTCCCTCAAATTTGCTTTCCTGAATAAGAATCTATTATTATAAGGATTTATTTTTTTCTTGACTATAAAACTGCTCCATTCTCTACTTGCCTTATAGTCTTCCATCTTGTCTTCATCTGTCTCTCCTTCATCTAGATACTTACGTTTTGCATTTGGAGCAGAGGTGTCATAGGAAGCCCTGAAAATTAAAACTAAAGTATCACATACAAATATATCTTATATAAGAAGGGTAAGTTTATCTATTAATAGAATATTATTAAATAACAGGTTATAAAAACAGAACAAGGCGAATTTTGTATTGTTGTTGCTGCTGAGTGCCGCTGAATTGGTTCTCAATTAAAGAGTACCTATTTACCCAGTTTATAAATCATCCAAAAGGTCACATAACCTGTTTAATTAAGAATTCTGTATTTTATTTTTATGAGAAAGCAACTAATTAACAAAAGAAATTGTTATAAGGGATGTATCGCAAAAAGAAGCTTCTATGTTATACAGCAATCTAATCTCTCGACTGCACTGATGATCAAAATAACTAGAATACTGCAAATTCTTGAAATGCTTTCTGAAATATCAAATGAATACCACTTTTATGAGCAAGTAAATTTGCTCTTATAAAAGTTTTTAAAATATAATTATTTATTGTATTACACTAATTCTCAGTCTAGCATTCTATTTTCTAACTACTTTATAAATGGGAACTTAACTCTATTTAGAAAATAAATCTTTAATAACTCATGAATTAACAATAAAAACCAATGCTTCTGAAATCTTTATTTTGATGCTTTTCATAACAAAGCACTTCATACCTAGCGGTATTTGTTTATTAAAACAATGATCCTTACAAAACATTAGTATGTCACTACTTTAAAAAAAAAATTTTTTTTTCAACTGACCTGCAAGTTTCCCTTGTTTCAGCAATTTCTCTCTGTTCATCTTTGCTATTTAACACAGCACCAATGCTGTCAGCACTTTCAGCTCCCAACTGAGAAAAGGAAAAAACCCAAAATTTGATCACAATGCACTGGGCAGTCTTTCCAGCCATTTACCAGTAGTATTTAGCATGTTGTTAACTTGGAGTGCAGAACTCAAATTCTAGTAAAAAGACTAAATGGTTTGACTGAGACTGGAGGGACCCCGGAAGACATGGCCCCCGGACTCTCTGTTAGCCCCAAACTAAAACCATTCCTGAGGCCAACTCTTTAGACAAAGATTAGACTGGACTATGGGACATAAAATGATAGTCATGAAAAGTGTGCTTCTTAGCTCAAGTAGACACCTGAAACTAAATGGGCAGCTACTGTCTGGAGGTGAGATGAGAAGGAGCTGGTTGAATGGACATGGAAAATCAGGGGTGGAAAGGAGGAGTGCGCTGTCACAGTATAGGGAGAGCAACTAGGGTCACATAATAATAATGTGCATATAAATTTCTGTATGGGAAACTAACTTGAATTGTAAACTTTCACTTACAGCACAACTAAAATATATATATACGCACATATATGTTGCTACCTGCCGTCAATTTTTGACTTATACCAACTCTATGTGACAGAGTAGAACTGAACCATAGAGTTTTCTAGGGAGAAGATCGCCAGGTCTTTATCTAGCTGAGCCCTGGGTGGGTACGAACTGTCAACCGTTGTACCCCCAAGTATTAAGAAAACAAATCTCTAACCATCACAGCAAACCAATGGATTAGCTTGCAAGACAAACTGGAAGTATCCTGGAACAAAACCATGTTAGTTGAGAATGATTGCAACAGCTAGGAAAACATTTATGCTTTCAGTTTGTTTGAAATTAAGCAACTTAATTTTAGTCAAATTCCTACTTTTACAGTAAATAATAAAACAGAATTTAGTAATAGTAGCAATAACAAAAACAGCAGAGTGGCAGGTACTATGTTGACCACTTTGTATGCATCAGATACGTAATACCCAAAAACCAAACCCACTGCCTGTCATCCAGTCGATTCCAACTCATAGCATCCCTAGAGGACAGAGCAGAACTGCTCCACAGGGTTTCTAAGGCTGTAAATCTTTATGGAAGCAGACTGCCACATCTTTCTTCCATGGGGTGGCTGGTAGGTTTGAACTGCTGATTTCTCGGTTAGCAGTCGAGCGCTTTAACCACTGTGCAACCAGGGCTCCTAGATTTGTAATAGTGCCTTATTTATCCCACGGTCTATTCAGTTTTATTCAAGCTAAGTCTTATAATGATTATAGGCACAATATTAAACTTTACTAATACTTTAAAAACAGCCATGTACATTTGAGTTAGCAGTTGGGGGAATTTTGCAAAATACAACAAATGTAAACAAATTACTGGCTGAGATGAGGCTGGCTGAGTGGGACTAGTTCATGCAAAGCTTTAAAAGCCAGATCAAGAAGTACAGAACGCAAATTATAGGCCATGAGGAACCATTAATATTTTTAAGTACACAAAGTGCATAAGGAAATCTGCATTAAATTGTCCCTTTAGCTTAGGAAAGGGGAGAAGGTATAGTAAAATATAAGAGAACATTATGCTACCAGCCTCACTCTTAAATAATTACCTATTGCCCTTTTAGTCTACTCACTTCATATCACTCCCCTCAGATTTCTCCAACGATAAATCTCTTCCAGTCTATCAACCGTTCCTGAAATTTCAACTACTCCAAAACATTTTCTTGATCTCTATTCTTTTTAGTCAAGAGACACTACATCTATTTCCTACAGCTGGAATGCTTACATCTATTTCCTATAGTGGGAATGCTTTCTAACCTTCTTTCCATGAGTGACTCCCCTCTTTTTGTATCTCAGATAAGTACAAGTTTTTTCCTCAGAGAGAGTCCTTCCATAAACATTGTATATAGAATAGACGGCCTCCTTCCATTGTTTTCTTTCCTTATTTACTTCGTAACACTTAATACAACTTTCAATGATTTTATCTTTTGCTTATTTTCTATGTATATTATTTAATGGTCTCTATGACAACTTCCAATTATTTTATCAGTTTACTTTTGTTTACTTCTCCCCACTGAAATATAAACTCTCTGAGAGGAAGAATCCTATGTTCAGCAGCTAGTACAATGTCTGACTCATTGTGCTAAATGAATGAATGAGATTTCCTACTAATTATAGGTGAACCTCGACCACCACACAATGTATTACAGGAGAAATGCTTTAAATAAAAATTCTGCCTACATATATAATTGTCTTCTCATGAGCCAACATTTAAAAAAAAATTGTAGAGTGACCGCATCAAGTCAACAATAAAACCCTGTTGCCGTTGAGTCGACCCTGTAAGACAGAGTAGAACTGCCCCAGAGGGTTTCCAAGAAGCGGCTAGCGGCTGTGAACTGCCCACCTTTTAGTTAGCAGCCATATCACTTAACCAAGTCAATTACAGATTTTCCATTATGGCAGCACTGAATAGATTACTTGAATAATTATGACAGTTTGGTAACTTTCTAAGGCATATTTAATTTTTTAAAACAAATCTACTTCTCAAGGCCAAGTTTGCTGTTTTAAGACAAATACACAACAGACATAAATTGCTGGTGGTAGCATCAATTGTCATTATCATGGTCCAGGCCTACTTACTGCCTCCAATTGCTTCACTAAGCAGACAAAAGTAAATCAAGCAAATCGTACAAATAAGCTGCGCTCTGTTCTGATATTTCATTAATCAACAAATGTTTATTAAAATCTTACTCTGTGAAAGAAACAATCCTGGGGTAAGAAGAGATTACCTAACCAGAATGATATACAAAGACTTTGTACTCAAACTACTTACGTTCTGTATGACAATTCACAAGTCTCTGGGTGGTGCAAACAGTTAAGTGCTCGACTACTAACCAAAAGGTTGGTAGTTAGAATCTACTCAGAGGTGCCTCAGAAGACTGACTTGGCGATCTGCTTCCAAAAAGTCACAACCTTGAAAACTCTATGGAGTACTACTCAAAGGGTTGTCATGAGTTGGAATCAACTCAATAACAACTAACAACAGCAAAAACATGATAATTCACACAATATATAATAGTGCACTTGACAGTAAGTAGTATGAAAGCTCAGAGGAAGAAGAGCCTAAGCCAGGGAGATCAGAATAGGTTCTAACACTAAACTCTAACCTAACTGGGCCATGGAAGATGGATGGAATTCAGAATGAAGGGGAGACAAGGACTTTCCAAAAAATAATAATAAAGCAAATAGTGCACAAATCAAGTTCTAGAGAATAAACCAATCTGTCTTATTCATATAGAGAAAACTAAGCAAAGGAGAGTTTGTAATTAGTGGGTAAAGTGAAAGTTTGTCATTGATTATATTGGAGGCAGCTAGGTATACTGGACTGGAAAGAGCACGGGAAAGCCTAAGTTAAAATCCCAGCTCTCACATTTACCAGTTTTGTTGCCTTGGGCAAGCAGCAAATTTTTTTAGCTCTATTTTCTTTATCTATAAAATTGAGGTAGTATCAACTTGTAAGACTGAAGATGTGTAAGTAAAAAGCTTAGCAGAGTCTGACACATAGAAGGGATGTAACATGGCTGCCATTATTAAATCGTATGTACTATGGACGCTCACTGAGGGTAGGGACTATTATTCATAGCTGAATTGCCAAGGCCTACTAGAGCTCCTGGCACATAGTCAAGACACTCAACAAATAACCGTTCTATGAATGTATTTTGAGCCAAATCTTCCAGAGATATATATTCAAAACTGAGGAGTCAAAACCATTGGTGGCAACAAAGATCTACTAAACATTTTGAAAATAACATAATAGAAATAAGGCTTAGAAAGGATGTCGCATTTGTCTAGGATCATACAGCACAGGACTAAATCTGATTCTAAATTACTCCATTTTAAACACCGTACCATGAGTCTTTCCATCGTATCATAAAAGAGGATAGGTTTCAGATTTCTTGTGACTAAAACCAAGATTATTGAAAAATAACAGCAAAACATCTCATTAAAGCCTATGAGCATTTTACCCATCACTTTCACTAATATGAACACCAGAATGGAAAACACAGCCTCTGCTTTTAGCTATCTGTACCTTCTGTAGGGTCGCTATGAGTTGGACTCCACTCAACAGCAACGGGTTTGGTTTTTGGTATACTCTACTTATCAGGAAGATTACTATGCTCTTCTGTACTAACGTACTCATACACAAGAAGCAGTGAAGCAGAGTGGTGTTAGAAGGTAAGCTTTGGAGAAACAAACCCGAGTTCAATTTCTTGGCCCAGCTGTGAGTGACTCCGGGCAAAATAACGACCTCTGGAGTCCGGGTTTCATTATTTGATAAGTGAAGAAAATACTACTACCTACTTCACTGGGTTGTTTTGACTGATAGTAAGAATTCAAATATTAGCTATGGGTGACGGTAACAATACTATACGCCGCACAGTGGACTGCAATACACAAAATGCAGAATGCAAGGTTTACACTTAGGCTTCTTCCAATGCAGTCTTTAAAGTAGATAATCCTCTCTCAAAATAAACCCATTTCACAATGAAACCACAATCTCAGGATTTAGGTGTTGACTCCGAGGAAAAACAAGACAAAGAAGAGCACATAAATACTGAAGCGATATTTAAAGAATAAGTCACTTTTCCTTGCATCAACTGTGATAATTTCCAAAGACCAAAGCTTTGCATCCCCCACCATCAAGCACGGTGCCAGACGCTTGGAAGGCATTCGATAAATGTTGCTGAAGATCAATCGTGGCGTGTAGTTTAATATTACCACAAACACAGCGGCAAGAACTGGAAAAAATTCGGGGCACAGCAGGGGTTGAGAGAACAAGGGAAGATCTAAGGGTCGGGGGGTCTCCGGACCAGGAAGAAGTGCTGAGAGGACGAAGGGCAGGGGGAGGGGAGAGGGCGCCGCGCACGCGCATTTGCTATCCCTCCCGCAATGGCCACCCTGGGCCGCGGACCTGCTGCGCGAGGAGCTGTCGCCGTAGCTTTTGCCGCTCCCGGATCTCCTGCAAGCGGCTGTCCATGTCCCAACTCCTGTTTTCCACTACCCTGAAAACTTGGCAATGCGTGGATTAACCCCCGCCCAATCTTTCTTCCGAGTCTGTGGAACACAAAATACGCCAGGAGATTGAGACAGGCGGGTATCCCCTAGCGTTTTTCAATAGGGATTTCCGGCTCGGCCGGAATTGGTGCCGTTGCGCCCGGAAGTCCCGCCTCCTCTAGGACGTCTACAGTTTGACGCTACTTGGAAGGGGCCCAATGAGGGCCGCTGCAATGCGGTGAGCGGTCTAGGAAGTCTGTTAAGCGCCGAGAGCAGCGGTTGTCAGATCCCGCCTCCGGTGTCTCCGTTGGCGGGTCTACACGTCTTCCCCAGTGTGGACTTTTTTGTTGCTTCTCTTTTCAGTTAGTTCCCCAGTTACTTTTAAAAATTGCTGCGTGGAGTGTCTGCTTTTTTACTGAGAGACCAGACTGCAGCCAGATTGCCTTGAACCCTTGCCTATCACTAGCTGAGTCTTCTTGGCTAGTTAGCCACCTCCGTAAATCTAAGTTTTTTCATTTGTAAAATGAGAGTAAGTAAGAGTGCCTGCCTCACAGAGTTGTTGTGAAGATTGAAATAATAAAGTTTATATAAAGAATAAGCAGGGACAGCGCTATAGAAGTGTTTGTTATTAAGGGTTTTTTTTGTTAGTTTTCCCTTCTGCCAGTGCTCTCCACACCTCACTAGCTCTTGAGAAGTTGCCTGTTGTTACGGTAACGCAGTTTATGGAGTCTTCCCTTTAGAAAAGAGGGGGTTGGCGATTGTAAAGTGTGTCTTGGTTTGTGTCCTAGAGGAGAGCCCTTTTTCTGCCAGTGCATTTATGTTACCAGGAAATAATCCTGGGATATGGAAACAAATACCCTGGTGGGGAGGGGAGGGGAGGGGAGGGGATTCTTCTCTCCTAGGAAGGCAGCAAAGACCAAAGTCTTACTCAAATTATTAACATTGTTATTCACCACATTTGTCATTTTATTCCAAACTCAAAGTGGCCAAGGTGGATTAGGCATCGTGTTGCCTCAAGTTTAACTGGAGCTTGTGGAAAGTACTTGCCAAGATAAGTTTTATTCTTCGAGAGTGGATTTAATTTTTTGAAATAATGGTAAATCTTCCAGATCAAAACCCGGTGAGTCAGGCTAGGCCCAAAGTGTGCAAGCTAGATTCTTATCATGCATTTTTCAAGAAGTAGCTTTGAAAGGAAATTTCAAAAGAGGAACTCTAAAAATTCCTTGAGTTATGAGAACTATTATGTAAAAGACAATACTAATGTGTATGTAGGAGCCCTGGTGGCACGGGTTAAGCGCTCACTGCTCTGCAGGAGAAAGATGTGGCAGTCTGCTTTTGCAGAAATTTACAGCTTTGGAAACAGTTCTACTCTGTCCTATAGGGTCACTATGAGTAGGAATCCACTTAACGGCCGTGGGTTTGGATTTTTTTGTTTGTTTTAATGTGTATGTATGAGTTAAAGTATGTTTCTTTTAAAATTCCACTGTGCTACTTTGCATACCAATCATTTAAGTTGGGTACTGATTTCAGCTATTTATCAATGATGGGAATAGGAATTTTCATTAAAATATTTATTTGATGTTTATTGAGCATTTTTATATGGCAGGCACTTTGATAGGTATTAGAGTAAAAGACCAAAGACCAAACAAGTCAAATTCTGCTCTCTGATAATGGCAGGACTAGGAATCTACAAACTACATTTCCCAGGCTTCCTTGCCAGATGGCTTCCAATAAAATTCTGCCAAGAGGAAGCACAGACAGGAGACAAGAAGATGGAAAATGGGGAGAAGCTATTGTTCTCCACTTCTTTTCCACTTCTGGCATCCATAGAAGTGGCTGTGTCACTTACAAAGTTGCAGAACCAGTTGCTACAGCTCCTTGGTGGTCATATCTTTCCTGAATCAACTCAACTGCAACAGGTTTGGTTTGGTTTTGGGGTTTTTAGTACCCCTAGCAGTGAGTGTGCTCTTGAGTTCTGATAATATCACCCCTTGCCTCTGTTCCAGCAGTTCTAGGACTAGTAGCCACTTTCTGCAGTTAAAAATGTATGGTTTAATCTCACTTTCCCTTTTTTGTTTGTCTAGCCTTCTAAAAACAAAAAACCAAACCAGTTGCGCTGGAGTGATTCCGACTTAGGACAACCCCATGTGTGTCAGAGTAGAACTGTGTTCCACAGGGATTAATATGGCTGATTTTTCAGAAGTAGATTGCCAGGTCTTTCTTGTGGAAAGCCTCTGGATGGACTTGAACTGCCAACCTTTCAGTTAACAGTGAGCGCATTAACCGTTTGTACCACCCAGAAACTGTCTAGCCTTTAACACCTGTGTAACCAGTTCTCCATAGTAAATGTGGTCTGTTTCAGATATTTTGAATGACTTCTGTTTTCTTGACTGGATGCTGGGCTGGTAAGGATGTAAATGTGTACTATTATATAGTATTTACAAAGCCACCAGAATCCAGCAGAGTGATAGGGCAGGCACTATCACAGTTTTCATGAAGATGGAGATGTAACTCTGAAATTTGTTTCCCATCCACTGAATTTTAAAACACCAGACTAATGGCTGTAAACATTTTTTTTCCACATCAGTACACCTGAAGTATCAATAACATCTGCTTATCATGGTAACATAATGGCTACTAGGAAGTGTGTGCGTAGGATGGAGGGAAGGTAAGGAGGGAGACGAAATTTGGAAAAACACCACATATAATTCGTATTTTTTGAGGAGGCAATTTCTAGGCACTAATTTAAGGAAGTAATTAGAACTTCACATAACAATTTCTTTCCCCTCAAGCACTGCTTGAGAAGAATTACTCCAAACGTATATATCAAACTGCCTATTACACAGCTTCCTAGGATATTCCCCAGAATTTTAAACTTAACATGGACAAAACCTAGATTTGTAATCCATAGTCCACAACCAACCTTTCTCTCTCTCAAAAAAGAAAAAAAAAAAAAAACAGTTCTTCTCCAGTGTTTCCTGTTTCAGAGAATAGCATCAGTATTCATCCATTTTCCAAAATAAAGAAGCACTTCACCTTTCCCTCAATCTCCATATCTACTTTATAGTTCACCCCTGGCTCCCACTCCCCCCGCCCCTTCATTTTTACAACCACAACCTGTGGATGATCTGTAACCCTATTCTATCCTAATTGACCTCCCATTTCCAGTCTATCTAATTCTTCCTAGACATATATGGAAAATGATCATTTTATCATCTCAAACTTTGCTCAGAATTTTCATGTTTCCCCAATGTCTAGGGCAGTATGGCCAATAGAATTTTCTATGATGATAGAAATGCTCTATCTGGGCTAAGCAATATGATAACCACTGAACACATGTGTCTTTTAAGCACTTGAAATGTGGCTAGCGCTCCAGAGGAACCAAATTTTTAATTTAATTTATATTTAATTAGCCATATGTGGCTAAATCAAAAAACAAACTCGTTGCTGTCTAGTTGATTCTGACTCATAGTGACCCTAGCTACCATATGGGGCATCACAGGTCTAGGCTCAAGGAATAAAATTCTAAACCACTTAGCTAATATATTTTTTTATTTTTGTTACATGTGTAAGAAATGCTCTCTTACTTTGGATGTGTTATCAGAAGGGACTAATGCCATGTACATGACTCTTCAGGTGTGCTAATGTGGAAAAAAAAGTTTAGAACCATTAGTCTCGTGTTTTAAAATTCAGTGACTGGAAAACAAATTTCAGAAAGGAGAAGGACATCATGCTTGGTAAAGTAGAGGGTCAGTAAAAAAGAAAAGACCCTCAATGAGATGGATTGACACAGTGGCAGCAACAATGGGCTCAAACATAGCAAGATTGTGAGGATGGCACAGGACTGGGCAACATTTATGTCTTAGTTATCTAGTGCTGCTATAACAGAAATACCACAAGTGTATGGCTTTAACAGAGAAATTTATTCTCGCACGGTCTAGTAGGCTACAAGTCCAAATTCAGGGCATCAGCTCCAGGGGAACACTTTCTCTGTTGGCTCTGGAGGAAGGTCTGCATCATCAATCTTCCCTTGGTCTGGGAGCATCTTAGCACAGGAACCTCAGGTCCAAAGGACGCACTCTGCTCCCAGCACTGCTTTCTTGGTGGTATGAGGTTCTTATGTGTCCCTGCTCACTTCTCTCTTTTATATCTCAAAAGAGATTGGCTTAAGACACTAATCTTGTAGACCTCATCGGTATAACTGCCGCTAATCCATCTTATTACATCATAGTGATAGAGTTCACAACACATAGGGAAATCACATCAGATGATAAAACGGTAGAGAATCATACAATACCGGGAATCATGACCTAGCCAAGTTGACTAATGTTTCTGGGGGACACAATTCAATCCATGACAATTTGGTTCTGTTATATTATACATGGGGTCACTATGAGTCGGAGCCTACTCAATGGCATCTAACAACAACAAATATAACATTAAGCTTACCATTTTAACCATTTTTGAGTGTACAATTCAGTGGCATTAAGTACATTTACAATGTTGTGGAACCATCACTACTATCTATTTTCAGATCTTTTTAAATCATCCCAAACAGAAATTCTATAGCCATTAAACAATAACTCTTCATTACCCGCTGCTCTGGATAACCTCTATTCTGCTTTCTGTCTCTATGAATTTGCCTGTTTTAGATACCTCATATAGATGGAATCATACAACATTTGTCATTCTGTGTCTGGGTTATCTTAACATAATGTCTTCAAGGTTCATCTACGTTGTAGCATGTATTAGAACTTCATTTCTTTGTGTGTCTGCATAATATTCCATTGTATGTATATACCACGTTTTGTTTATCTGTTCATCTGTTGATAGACATTTGGGTAGTTTCTACCTTTTGGTGTACAAGTATCGGTTTGAGTCACTGCTTTCATTTCTTTTAGATACATACCTAAGAGTAAAAATGCTGGTAATTCTATGATTAACTTTGTAAGGAACCACCAAACTGTTTTCTACAGTTGTTGCACCATTCTACATTCCTACCAGTAATGGATGAAGGTGCCAGTTTCTTCACATCCTTGTCAATGCTTTTATGGCACAGTGGTTAAGAGCTACAGTTGCTAACTAAAACGTTGGCAGTTTGAATCCACCAGCCACTCCTTGGAAACCCTATGGGTCAGTTCTACTCTGTCCTATAGGGTTGCTATGAGTCGGAATGGGTAATCATTTAATACTATTTTTTTACTTT